CACGCATGGCTACGAGTTCGAATCCTGGATCGATATCAGCCCGGTCCAACAGGGCCTTTCATCCCTCTGAGGTCGCCTGATTGGTATCAGACTCTTATGGAAGGCTTAATGAATGACTTGAACATCAGCTGACTAATTCTATAGGCCATCCATGCATTCAAAACCTTACTACGATTCTGACTCGAAGTCTAAGGCGGTGCTCACCCCAAACGGGACTGATCAAGGTCAAAGACATCATCCTTGTTCTTTACATCAACCAAATTTTAGGTATGTATGAAACTAAGAAACCCCTGTGGAGAGAACAACACTGTAGGTAATATTGCAGGGTTTGGCGGTACATGACACAGAGGGCTAAGAACCGGGACTTACTGGCCAGCGCCTTTTACTTAGAACCGCGTGGTGGCTGATCACATTTTACCGCTGGCACTCTCCCAGTAATCAATCACCTAATAAATACGTATAGTTCAACGAGTGGAGGTGGTGTAGTGGTAAGTGGCTAACCATCGCACACGCATTGTCACGGGATCGAAAACCAGGTCGATAACCATCCACGCCAACCAAGTCTTCCATACCTCCAAGGTCGGTTAATTGGTACTAGACTCGTCTGGGAGGGTTAAATCACTGATCTCTACATCTGAATGGAAGTGGAACACGGGGTCGCATCCTTCGGACGGGATCGATGAACGCCCGAACACTTTATCCTTTTTCAGTTCAACACAAGAACATGAATGAAATATTTTATCCATGAATCACCTGCAAAAGAGAAGCACACACGAACATTGAGGCTTTTACAAATCATAAACAAAACGGAGATACCGGATCAATGATAACGATTTCATTCACATTATTAAAGACGAAACGTAAGGTCAGGCCGAAGTTATGAACAGCAGACGAGGCACGCATTGGAATATGGGAATTGTGATATAACTGTGTGGATCAGCGGATAAATTAGTGACCATATTTCTGGAACTCCCACTCTCTATTATCCAGAGGACAAACCTGTAAAACTCCTCATGTTCAACAGTTGGAAGAAAAAATTAAACCTAGTATGACACAACAGATGGAAACACTTGACTAACCTGACGAGTTTTAAGCCAACGAGAAATACAGTGGAAATGGAATGCATGATTGCAGTTTCCCCAGGCTACCGTGCATTCTTCTTTTTGACCCGTGCTCTGATTGCCCTAAAGTATCAGAAATTTCAAAAGTTTTTTTAAATTGTGGGATATAAATAACATTGATATTTACGAAATAAGTAACCGATGCAGAGACAATCTCAGAAAACTCCACTAAGCTCGTAAAGCAATGTACAAAATTTGAAAAAAAAGGGAAAAGAGTAAGCATCAAAGTGGAGGAGAAACAAAATAAATAATAAAGTAAGCATAAATAAAAAGAAATAAAGATATTTTGCCAATGCCGAGCAGCTTTGCACCACTGCAATGTATGAAGAGTATAACACATTCGTGTAAATCCCTTGTACCATTACGAGGGGAGACGTCTATGCAGCAAGGGGGGAGCACGAGACAAAGAGCTTCACAGCAGGGGGCATACTTATTGGCAATCACAGGACAAAGGATGGTCTGCAGTTACGCGACAATTAATTTGCATACAATTCTAAGCCCCTTACTATACTGAAAGGATTCCGACCGAACTGCCCTTTGGTATTACTGGGCAGGACAGACATTCAAACAATGTACTATAACCTGATGTTGTTGGCGCTGATTCAGCACAGTTTTTGGCATGCGTAAAAGAAATAGAACAAAGGTGATGAGCAAAGGTGGCCATACCTGATTAGCTTGACATTCTATACATAAATCCATGATATGATTACGACAGATTGCACAGTTATCCACTTGAATGTCCCATGCCCAAAGCGCTACCGCACTCCACTTTTTAACCTAAAAAGAAGGGGATCGTATAGGGATCTAATTTTCAATTATTATCAACCGATATTCAAAATAACACAGTGAAAACTCGTCACTTCAGTACTACGTACTCTGCAGGAGGCATACACCTTTGCAAAAAGGAACAAATCGATGACTTTCCCCAACACGAATCTCTTCAATCTAACCTTCGCTTCTTCGCCAGGCATATTCACACTCAGTTTTATGAGGAAAGAAAAATATGTTGAATAATAAGATTAGCCTGCTTTTTCCCCTAAAACTTTTGATGACTGCCCGCTTATTTAAGATAATACCCTCTGTGCATGATTTAAACACACTCAGAAAACGGATTATCTCCAAAACTAAAGACAAGTACGGTGATCCACCCTGAGAATAGGAACCAGTGGAAGATCGAAGACTCCCTGTTGCCCCTACTGTCTCGACAACACTTACTTCAAATCTCTTCTTATCCTTAGCTGAAACTGATGGGTTTTCTCCTTCCTCTACTTCCATCTTCAAGTTGTCTTCGGCCATTCCTGATCAAGCACTTATACTGAGCAAAAAAAGGGCGAACAACTCTTATGAAACAAAACTCGAGGTGAAATTGCAGAAAATAACAAGTCGATAATCTGTGCGAAATGACGTCATTAACAAATATAAAAGTAAAAGTTAATCCAATAAGTTTATACAAAACACTAACATTGAACGATATGTTATAGGAGTTATACCGTAACAAACAAGACATAACACAACCGCGACTAGACAGAAGGGATGGGCAACACATGGACACGACGGTAGTCATCACATGAGCGAAACAAATGCAGTTACTACCTTTACAGTGAAATATTAACAGTGATATGTTCATAAATAGATACGTCTTATATTAACGCAGCTGAGCTCATCAATGAACAACTGTAGGATTCGACTATCTCTAGAGAGGCAGGATGTAGAAGTTATTCGACTAAAACTCCAACTTGCGGTCTCTAAGACTAATTCGGTTTGGTTACAGTACTAAGTGGTAAGTAGAACAGAGATATTCAAAACAACATGAAGTAGCACAAACAACAACAAAATGTTTTAATAACAAACATCAACGTAGTATGTACAAATTAAAGACAACTAACTGCCTTTCTTGAACTTCCCTGCACCTCTCTTCTGGGTTGTGTATAAAATCATCAAGAGGTTACCAATTCTAATCTAAGACCCTCACTAACGCATGGAGACCTTAAGAATGCTCGTGATGACGAAGCATCTGCTGCTGTCTCTGCTGATGCTGTTGTTGTTGTTGTTGTTGCTGCTGCTGTTGTTGCTGCTGCTGAGCAACCATACAGGCCAGTGCAGCTTGCATAACATTCCCGTCACCGTAAGAATTGTCAACCTCATCCAAACCATCACCAGTCTCTTCATGTTCACCCTGAAATGAATGAGTGAATTTCAACAACGATTCGAATGAGAATCAAAAGGAAAGTAAACATTTCGAGTGTGTTAACCTCTTACAAAATGACAACTGATTATCGGTAATCACTAAAGCTCTACTCAAAGCCGCTCGGAGAAAGAAATAGAAGTGGTAAACGTTCGCCGAATGTGATTCAATATAAACAAATTAACAAGCTAGATAGAAGTTATTAGCGTTACTCGATCCCACTTGCGGTATAAACGCCAGTATAAGATTCCTATCCAGAATCGTAATGTGGTTTTGAACGCAGATACGGCCAACGCAATGGATTGCGGTGGCCAGCCGATGTGCAAGTCACTGCTTTTACCCTCTTACAAGAGTCTAGTAACATTCAACCGAGCCCGGAGGGATGGAAGGCTTGGTGCCCCTGGGCGGCACCGATCCGGGAAATGGATAGGAACTACACTGAAAAATTGCTCTCCCTAAGGAACATTGAAAGTTAGACTATAGGCTGCAAATTTGTAAGGAACGATTATGCAAACAAGAGATCTGATCTTGCACAATATCAGAATGACATGCGCCATTCACAACACTTGAAAAAAAAAAAGAAAAAGAGCGACCTTAGTCAGCAAAATGATTAAAAGCACATGAAAAGTGGAAAGATCCAGGCATCAATGCAGAATCAACTTAACCAACCTCGTCGTGATCCATGTCTGGCTCTTCTTTTGGAGCGTTTAGTGTGTTTCCTCCTCCTGACACAATAAAAGACTGTAGGATTTGGCTTGCAGATTCAGGATGCATGCCGCTATAGTCGGACTCGTTCGAAGATACACCTGGACGAGGCGGTGAACAACCTGAAAAAGTCAGATTAAGTAAGAGCCTTATGCTCCCCAAACCCAAATGACAGTACCTGCTGTAAGAGGACGGGCCTTGTTGTTTGGTTTAGGTGGAAAACATCGAGCAGTAAACATACGCAGCTGATAGCCAAGCCGTTTCCGATTGTCGACAATCATGCTTTCATCCCCGTTATGAATTGCCTGCAGTTACAAGTTTATTATTAAAACAACAAATCATGGAGAATCACAACACTAGAGATCCCAAAATTACCTTCACATGCTTTAATACGTCCGATTTAGCTATCGTTTGCCACGTCTTCTGACACACTGCGCACTGGTACAGGTTCAGCTTTATATGCCTGTGAAAGGACAAATTACCTTTTGAATTTTCTGAACTCAGGTAGAAAATTTAATTAAAAACTTAAAATAGAACGTTTGAACAAGGCACAACCACATGACTAATCTATTTCTTATTGAAGCAGAAACTAGGGTTAGAATTAGAATTCGAACATTCTTAGAAGAGGCGCAGCTCTCCAGAAAAAGGTCATGTTTGCTTTTCTTTGAAGGGGGACAGTTACTATAAGATCTCAACCCTTCGTTCCTAAAGTTTGAGGATATCCAGGTGAACAGGGAAAGGATGTATACGGAAACTCGATAGCTACTATTATGTATACTTGTGCATTAGTGAGTGAGCTCATAAAAAACGACAAAGGTGCAAAATTCCCAAAAGGGCGGAATTCCGACAAAAAAAAACAATACTTGCAAAGCCAAATGCACATTGATTATGTACATTATGCGCAATAAAGCCTAGCCCCAATTTGAAATATGATAAAATAATATAAAAAAACTGACTTCGTATTTGCGTGATAGACAAGACTCGAACGCTGATTTGACACTTTCAAACCGCAAATCTGACAGGTAACTGCATCTTTCGGCTGCAAATGAACTCATTATGTATTGCTCAGAAATCATGTGAGAGAGCGTTTTTCCCTACGTTCAGAAGAACTTACAACATAACTGACTTTCCTAATCAGCTCTTCTCCCTCTCCGATTAAAGCGGCAAAGTCCATTCCTGAGCTCATAGCATCGCTCGCAAAATCCATTGGAGACAGGTCAGCCAACACAGATGAGGGGCCGGAACCAGATGGAAAGTTGCTTCCGTAGTTGTGCAAATGATGGCCATGTGTGAGGTGTAACTGAGAGTTAGAATCCATTGACCCTAAAGTTCACAGTAAAAAGGACACAAATCTTGACTAAAGGATCAATTTTTCGAAAAAACGAAGCGAAAATAAGGATCGGAAATGCTTGTCAGAAACGTTAGCAAACGAATATTGCTGAGTAATGTAGCTTACAAATACAGATGGAAAATCCAGCACGAAAACGCACCATAACCTAACAACGAGTGAGTTGCAGCTCCACCGTTGCTTGTTACATGGCGTGGAAGTTGAGGTATCACTGATGTGGGAGTGGTAGCTATTCCGGTAGGTGATGTCGACGGAGGAACCACACCTCCGGAACCAGCAGAAGATCCAGATCCTGGTTGTCCTGCTCCGGTGTTATGGTCCGATGAAGAACCTGACGGTTCCACGGATGACGGGAAACTGTCCGGATCTTCATACTTAAACTAGAAAAATTACTGAAATTTAGATCGAAAGAAATAAAGACAGAATAATTG